TAAGAAGGGAAGAAGAAGAGTGAGACCACAAACAGCAGTGATAACTAAATTCTAAGAGGACTGTGAAACCAGACGCTGATTGGGGGAGGTTTATCAGACGTGAAATGTGACTGGAGTCAGCAGCCCTTTTATATCATAGTTCTGCAGTAAACATGCGCCCACAAACCCCTCATTATAGATCACTTTGCTGTTTGGTATCACACCAGACAATAGAAATCATGGGGTCTGTGTGCTTTCAGCTCCTATTCCCGGAAATACACTCCCAAGTGGCGTGGCTTACAACGTGCTGGATTTCTCCAGCTCTGAGCTCTGTGTTCCATACTCTTGCACACCTTCGAAATACTTTAAGCACTTTAAGTATAACCAAAGATTTTGTGCACTACCCTTATTTTGTAATTACCTGTATCTGATTCTGTTGTTCAACATACAGTATGTCTCAGAATAGATGGAGATAGGATTTAAATTTAATGTCTTCCTGCTGCGAGCTTCTGGAAACTAAGCAATTACTTCTTCTGCATTTGCTTTGTACTAAATCAGTCTAGTTCTCCAATTCCTTAGAACTACTTATAGTGTCTGGTTTATTTTTTTACTACCTAAATTGGTGAAACAGGGTGTAATACTGGTGGGTCAATATCAATTAACTGTAAGTAGTAATAAATTACATTATATGTACTGTAGATCCCATTACAAAAAGGGTTGAGTGCTTCAACAGCCACCCCACAGAAAGACTGAAGATATGTATGGATTATCAACCAAAAGTAGGATCTTAATATTTTCATCTGAATGGTTCCATCTACTGTATCTCAACATTGTTTTTTTGTTTGTTTTTTTCATTTAATATTTAGGAAAATGAAAATATTAGGAAAATATTTAGGAAATGATGTCATGCAGGCCCATTAAAAAAAAGAGCAGCTGCAGATGAACATTAGAAATGCTTGATAAAATAATCTGCTAGCCTTCATGAAAGTAAAACTATATTGCAGACCATTTGTAGACCCTTTCAATAAAAAAATATAGTCATATCTTATATCTCTTTATTCATTTGATATTTCAAAAATCTATATTTCCCAGCCCTAACTGGGTTCTCCTTGTGTTGAATAATTCTTCATGCTGGTAGCTATTTCATATGCTAGTGTTTACCCTAGAACTGTATTTACTAGATAAGAGGTCTTTCACCTGGTGGTCAGCAGGGACTGCAGGGAGGTTGTGAAATTTTCCAGGTGCCACTATTGGCCCACTTGACACCTTAAATAAATAAATCATGATAATATCTGCAATATTGCTTATACTAAGAAAAAGACTTGTGCATGTTACCTTCACACCACTAACAAGTCACCATGACAATATGATAAGAGGAGTTGGTCTAGATGTATTGTGTTGCATATATTCTCAGCTGAAATTAGTTCTGAAACTGATGTACAGTACCTGACTGACGCTGGTCCTGTACCAGCTGTAAGAAGCTTCTACACAATTGAGTGAATTTTGAAGTAGACTTGGCTCCTAATTTCAAAGGTACCAATAAAGACTATAATAACCATTTCATTACTGCATTTGATCAGCAAGCGAACCTCCATGACCTGAACCCCTCAGAGTAAGTTTCCTGTATTACCCAAAATTTATATTTTTTATTAGGTTGTAAACCAGAAAAAATATCAGCTGCAAAAGTGGTTATAATATCTGATCCTGTGAGTAATAAATCTATAACCAACTGCAACACGCATATTGGTTTGGCTTCAGTAGGATACGGACACAGAACCTAGTTGTTTTAATCTAGATTACGGTATGCTAAAATATTGCTTAAAAAATATGAAAACATTTTTAAAAATCCATTAATTCTATAAATTTTCCCATAAATTCTTCTATGTTTTGAATCATTCTCTAACTATTTAAGGTGAATGCCATATGATCCCTCTCTTATTCTTTACTATGTGCCAGCCGGATGCTAGGTCTGCTATTGCCAATTCTAACCTTTGGTTAGCACTAGCTCACATTGAACTTACCTGCTCTTACATTGGAACAATTCAATTCAGTTTATTTATATAGCACCAAATACATGTCATTTCAAGGCACTTTACAGGGACATTTCAACCAGATCCTGCAGTCAGATTGGTTCAAAATTTTCTATCAAAGGAAAACTATCTGATTGCATGGACTCATTTACTCGAAATTAATCCCTCGCACCGAGCATGATCGTAGCGACAGTGGAGAGGAAAAACTCTCCTTTAACAGGAAGAAACCTCAAGCAAAAACGTAAACCAAAGAAGTTATTGATTAGCTCTATCATAGATCTATTATGTGAGCTTAAAACCACTTTTCTTATAGGTGCAGAAGCCTTTATGTTGGCATTAGTAACAAATGGAAATATTTACGTGTATATAATAGACTTGTCAAAAATGTACAAAGCAATGATTTATATACTATTTTCTTTTTCAATGAAATAAGTATTTTTATTCTGCACCACTACAGATGTTCATTGGACGGATGTCTTTTTTTTTAATTGTTGTTTCAATGAAAAATTTGTAGCCATAGTTTGTGTCGGTTGGGTTTCACACTGTAATGTTAAACTCAAATTCATCCATACTGATTAAGGTTTAAAATAAGGCTTTTATTTGACCAGCCTGTTTCTTCTGAGTTGAAGTTACGGTAAGTTAGAGGCCAGATGTAAATCTGATAAAGTTTCTGTGAAGAGAGGTAAAGATTATGGTGATGGGGAAGAGACCTTTCAATCTCTAAGGATTATACGCAACCTAATGCACTTATTTCTACCTTTTAATGAGAAGATTATAATTAACATGCTGTACAAAAAAATCTGAAAATTTAAATATAAATATATGTATAGTAATTGATGCTCTACTACTGTATTATATTCTGAGTGATGATCACGTGTAGACAGAATCAAACCATTTCGTTAAATGAGGCAACATTTAAGAACCAATCTGCCAGGTTTATAAACAGTTGTCTGAAATATCATCTGTTGTGGAATTTTACTCTGTTAGTGCGAAATATAATTCAAGCAAAAGCTCCAATAAAAAAAAAAAACTTTAAGGATGGGAATGACACTTTAAACACATGAGTTAATCCTTCCTACCTGCTTACTAAATGACAAAATGTAGCCTGATGAGGTAAATTCATTGGCCTGACCTCTCAGATTCAACATCGATCTTTTTACGCTGTCCATGGCCACCCTCATTAAGAAGCAACTGAACGAGTGATTGTTAAGCTGCTCCTTTAAGGCCATTCTCCCAGAAAAAAAGTACTCTAACAAAAATATCCCTTCGTTTTCAGAAGCACATTCTGTTGTTGAGATCTGAAGAAACAGGCATTTCCTCATGAGACCCCTAGCAGCATTAAAATAGAGCTTTACTCAGCCCAATTAGGACTTGTGGAAATCAGGCTAATGGTTAAGCAGGGTGGGCTGTCTTTGTTTCGCCCTCCAACATTCTCACAACCTTGAAATTGAATTTACAGTAATCTGTGTTGAACATTATACATTTTATAATCTGTCTCTATATATAGGTATAAACCTTTTGCCTTTAATCCCCAATGTTTGGTAGATTTATCTAAAGATCTTAATATCTCCATCCATCTGTCACCCTTAGATATACATTCATCAGCCTTTAATTTTTGCTCCCTACTCAACAGTATTCGTTATTTAAGCTGAAACATGATGCTTTTTCTCGTCATCTCCTCTTCCCTTCCTCTCATTATCTTTTTAAACCTAATCCCCCCTCCTTTTGGACAGAACTGTTTCACCCTAACGGAGGTAACAGAAATGTAATTCTATTTGTATGTTATTGTGTTGTGATGTTCAGCAGGAAGAAGCTTGATAAGATTTTTTTTCCTGCCTTCATTCAGGCCAGAGGAGCTCTTTTTGATTTGATTTGAGGGAAACAAAACAAGGAGGGAAAGCAGAGCTGAAGGAGGGCAAGGGCTTCAGCAGTCAGCTCTTTCAGGAATCTGTGGACTCGACGGTCCGTGTCGAACTGAAGTGTCGACTCCACTTGTACGTCCAAGCATATCATTAGGGAGACATCTTTTGTTGCAGTCAGTCACTGCCCTCTTATGAAGAGTGAAAGAGGAACCGCTTGATGTTTGTATGTCAGCTCGTTTTACCTTTGAACACACATTCTAACGTGCTGTTTGACGTTTATGTCTGTTATGCAATAAAGGTATGAGTTATGAACCAGGTTTTGATGCCAAAGGCTGTCAGCCCGCTAAAAAAAAAAAAAATTAACTAAGGCTTTTTGCATAAGAACTGTATGTGGCCGACGCACAGTGCCTTATTTTCCTGCTTTGATTCTAAATTCAGAGCAGATTCTGATGTAACCACTGAATCGCAGCCAATGAGGAAGGAGAGTTCAGCATGATTCAGAAAAACCAAAGCAGGATATAGGAGATAATGCCACTCATCAAGTTCTGAACTAAGTGCCACAGCACCACCTCTTGGTCATTGAGGTCTTTACTCTTTGTAGTCAAAGTTCAGTGAATCTCAAAAGCTTTTTTTTATGTTGTTTGGAATTCCCCATTGTTTTTATTTCTTTTTAAGAATGAAATTCTTTTGTATTCTGACTTCCTCAAACATGTTTAATAATTACTAGTTTTGTACTCAAGGCCTGTTGGAAACTGATTCTGCCATTTGGAACAATAAATGATGTTTGAACTGGGAGAACATTCCAGCTTCATGGCCAAGATTTGAGCAGTTTCTACCTGCAAACACCTGCACTGCTATGCAGCCAACAATGTAGAATTAGATGCACATAATTTCATTCTTTTTTTTGTTTTGTTTTAAGAGATCTTCTAGAAGAGTTGATGAAGAAAATAGACTCTTAAATTTAAGAGGATTGCGGCAATCACTAAAGTTACAACTCAGAGGTTTCAGTCCAATCTGAGTGTCCTAATAGTAAAATATGACAGATAGGGTAATAAAGTAACTTTCTACTGCTTATTTTTTCTTGCTCTGCATTAAATCAGTTTTTTTTTCACTCTCATTTTTCTTTTAGATTCAACAAAATACAGAACACAAAGAACACAATGAAGAAGGACGGCATCAGTTCCTTGACCTATAAACTGGTTCAGGTGAAGAAGTATCCCATGTACACGAACATCTCTGTGGAGATCGGCAAGCCACCGCCTCGACCCATCAAAGGCTAAAGAGAATAAGAGAGAGACATTTATTAAGTTGATGGGGTTCACCTCAAGAGGGGAGAGACGAAAAGAAGATCTGACTTTCTCTCTTTTTTTTCCCTCTGTTTAATCGTTTGAGATTTCAGCTCGACTTTTCATATGTTTTTAGGGCTTAGGCTTTCTCCAATTAAGAATGCTAGCTGCTGCCTGGTAACAGTCAGTGGAAGTAAAAAATAACATTTTGGAGGAACATCATCAACTGACTGATGGGTTGTTTTCAAACTTGAGAGTCGTTCCGCGAACAATCATCTGTAAAGTGGAGGAATCCTTCAACATATCGACCAGAACACAAAATATGGATGTTATAAAACACCTTGGTCTGTTCTGGAAATCTACACAAAATGACTCTGTATCACTTTACATAAAACAAAACTTCTTTTGAGCGGGATGCTTGACTACGTCAAAGTGATGCAGCTTCCAGTTGGGAAATATTACATTTCTGAAGACATACATTGATTTTCTGCAGGTCATTGTTTAAAAAACCACTGGGACATGAACATGAAGTGGTTCGGATGGTTTTCAGAATCCCCGTGACATCCTCTTGTCTTGATGGAAGACAGGTTCTGTTGAGATTTGGAGTTTCCAGCCTTGATCTCCGGACTCTTTCGCTCTGTCAATGAATGTTTAACATGCCTGCATCTGCAGCAGGAGACTCGAGTAAACAGAGCAGTAAAGAAACCCTGGGGGGGAAAAAATCCTCCTTTTTTTCTCTCTTCTTTTCTACATTTCTGAACTTTAAAACAGAACTGGATTTTTGTAACAAACAATACCATGATATGAAATGTTTTCTTTAGTTTGCAGCACGGTGGAAGTCCGGCGAAAGGGCATTTTAAATGGAGAAAGTGAAAACATACCGACAGCTCGGTTATCAGCTCCAGCTTTCATTTCACTTTTTGATATTTTTCTCTTCATGCCTTACTGCAGTTTTAATAGGGTTACCAATTCTCTAAAGGTGCACTACACTCAAAGTCTTGAATTTGACCAATTTTTTTTCCAAAATCAAGGTGAAAACCAAGCTGTCAAGTTATGTTTTATAGTTATGTAGCATTAAAGTCGAAAAGACTGGCTTGTCAATTCTTTACATAGGCAGAACTAGATGAAACGGAGTGTCTTGTTGTTATTTTTTTAAGTCTACACTATAGCCATGTGGTCTTTTTACACAAATATCATGAAATCTATATCAATAGTGTTTTAAGTCACTTTTGTCTCTCCTATGTTTTACATTCAGTCATTAAGAAATCAAAATGGAATGGAGCAAATTAAAAGAGACATATAACTTCTAAGAGTGAAACTTTTTGAAAAAGTTTCCACTCATCTTCAACAATTACAAACTTCATGTAATTTATTGTTCTCTTATGTTAGAGAGGTATTTATTTGCTTATTTGATAACAAAACCCTGAAAACTGGTGTGCATATGAAATTAGCCTCTCTTAACTTGATACCTGTAAATGAAATCTAGTCCAACAAGAAGAAAGCTAAATATTATAGACACTTCTGTAATTTTGTATCTTGGTTTAAAAGCGGTGGTTCTCTGAAGGCTTCAGAGTTTTCCTGAAGCTCCAACTCATGGAGCACTAATTAACCAATCAGCTGTCCCTCTAAAATGACCATTTGGGAAAGAAGGGAACCAATCAGTTCTTGGTAACTCTGGAGGATTGAATCAAGCTGTGGGAGGCAAACCAAATCATGTGGAAAAGGATTTTCAAATTAAAAGCTTTCCGATTTACAGTGGTACAGAATATAATTGCACTCCGCACTTTTCAGATTTTTAATATCTTCAATAACAATTATGGAGATTGCATACTAATCTCAACAAAGAACTTAAAAGTTGTTGGGTGTAAAGGGACTAAATGTTTAATTGGTCTGTGTTGATCTGCGAGGAAATGTTTCAACCGGCTGAGCTTTCTGTCTGTGACTTTTCTGGATCTCTCCATATTCAGCATCATCAATTATACTGCTGTCCGTCCTATTTTACATTCAAATCTTGTTTCAGAAGTTAATTACTTTGAGACATTTTATCTCATTAATTTGTACACCTTAAGACATTAAGTAGCATAAGTTTAATCATTTAAAATGTTTAAATTATATTTTGTTTTCTCTCCTTTCAACACTTTAGAGTGGCTTTGTCTGTTTATTTCTGTTCATCCCTTAATGCCCACAGCCCAAATGTATGTCCTGAGAAGAAATCTTCACTCATTTGATGGTAAGACCTGGAAAAAAGTCATGAAATTATAAACTAAAAAGGTTGGAGTGATTTCGCCTAACCGTTGCTTTAAATGGCTTCACCTCTTTGGTCAGCCTTGAGGCAGAGTAGGTTTCATTCTGCTTGGCTCCTTGCCTCAAGCCTGCATGGTGGATGATATAATTACTCCTCTCCCTAGAACACACAATCACACACACTCAAACCATCAGCCTCCTTTATGTATTATTTCCCTTCTCGCTGCCTTTCCATTCTTACTCTGCCAGTCTGGGCTGTATTGTATCAATGGCTCACTGTTGTGCTTTGTGATGGACCCACTTCAGGCACATCTGGGCCTCACCAGAAGAGTGCTTCTTCTTTCGACAGATGTCGACGGGGGCTCTCTGCCTTTATTTTCACTAATCACCGCTTCTCAGCGCACATCCCCATTTATGAGTCCCTTCTTCTACAGCCTACTTGCCCTTTTCCTCTTCTTCTTGTCTGGATTTTGCCTCGTTTTTCATTTAACAGCATATCTGGTGCTTTCTTTTTCCATGAGTAAAAGTGGTCAATGCGTTTTCAAATGAAAATTGCTGAACCAGTGTAGAGATCATCACATTGTGGCATGCTCTGCTGTCTGGTCATCATTGAGGATAGGAGGCGATAAAAGTTAAAAGGGGTCAGTTTGAGTGATTATTAACACTGAAAATTATAAATAAAGCAACTGTTAAATTTTTATTATTTTTGTTTTCAAATCTTAAAGCAACCCTGTGTATCTTTTGACCCGGTATTGGCTTAATTAGTACTGTAGAGCACTTAGCTTGTTTCAATGCACAATGCAGGCTGCTCTTCTGAAAAACATGCCTATGTAACTTGAGAGCGCGGAATCTGTCCCTGAATGAGTCATGTGACCCAGAGCGCTGCTTTATGGCTGTCCGAGGTCACCTTAAAGGGGAAAGCTAAGATAAACACTGTTAGCCAACTGAACAGATATGACACTGATCTGATCAGACATAGTTTTTATGGTTCTCTGATGTAGAATTGAATCTAGACGGATAAATGTCTTTACATGTATCTCCATGACTTCTCAATCTGCTGGTCCAGACTGCTCTGCTTTCAGATTCCAAAACACAGAATGTTCAGTTTGACAATGCAGTTTGGCCATTTGATTTCAGGGAGGTTAAACCATAAGGTCACACGTCTAGTATCCCTAGTGGCAAAAAGTTACACTGTGTTGCTTTAAACTGTCACTTTGACATGTGAGTTATAAAGAATTGTTTATTTTAAGGTCAGAACATGCCAGTTTTTAGACATTAAAGTCTCCATTGGTAATATTATGTGCAATGATAATCAGTACTACTGTTTTGGTCAGTATTGGTGGGTTTATGTGCCCAACTGCATATTAAAACACCACTCAAAAGTAGCAATTTATCAGACAATTCTTAAACAGAGCTAATCCTTCTCAAAGAGCAGTAAAATTTAAAAATGTATTTATCCTGTTAAAGAGCCAGCTGAATTGCAGTGTGCAGGAACATACAAGGCAATAACATTTTTACTTTAGATCTATGTAGTTACATGATAATAGCATTAGTTCGTCTTTTAGATATATAGTAGTATTTCTCTTGTTTGTTGTGGTACAAACATTTTACTCCTAAAGCTTTGACCAAGTTTTATAAGTGTGGGTGGCCATATTGGATATTGGTTTAGGTCCCTGGTCTACCAAAGGTTTGCATGTATAAAAAGACATGCCAACTAGAAAGTGTGCTCAAACATCAACTTACAAGGTGCAAATTTGATTGAAATGAGCAAGATAACAGGCACAGTCTAGTTAGCGTGTTTGCCTTCATGAAATGTCAAACATCCGAATGCACTGAAAAAGATTTTAAAAAGTATTTAATTATAAATAGTTTCGTCCTCTTAGCACGTTTGGCAATATATTGTAAACTCGCACACAAGAAATACCTGCGTTCATTTTGGAGAGAGGAAGGCATAGTTCAGTTGCAGGCAGGAGAGTGCGTGTCTCAATATAAGCGGACAGTCAGACACTGAAGTAGTACAAACATGCCGTCTGCAGAGCAATGCTATTTTGGGGAAGAAAACTTTGCAACGCTGCAGCGAAACATTGCAGTTACTTTAACTTCCCAGTATTTCTGGTGTGCTGTCCAGAGGCGAAGGGGTGTTGCAGTGCTTTTAACTTTCTTTGTGCTCACTTTTAATCACAATCAACAGATCAAGTGGGAAAGTAGCTTTACATAAGTTTGTCTCTTTAAAACAGAAATAATTATTAATGCAACAAACCGGATTCAAGGGATTGCATGATCGATACTCTGTATGACATCATGTGCTGCAGAAGCCTGTTAATCACCCATGCTTTTAAGTCAGGTGTATGACAGCAATGAATGCTGGACAGGGGGCAATGAGGACCAGGTTGTGGAACCACTGATGTGGGTCCCAAATGTTTTTATCATTTCACACAAACAGAGAGGGTCCAGATAACGATCGCACATGCTTTCTGTGAGCTATTTAAATTGTGGCAGGCTTTTTGGACATGTAACAACTCCAAACTACCAAACTAAAGACAGCTAAATCTTCATTTAAATAGGGCATGCCGCAACACTTGCGCACCTACCATTTGACCACATAATATTAGTAGATCATCTGCAATATGCCCACTAATGGTGTGAGCATTTTCTTCTGCGATCTGAGTAGATCAGGCCCTAAGATTAACACTGAGATCTGTAACTTCTGCAGTGGTTCTGTTTACATTTTCTGGACTTTGAATTAGAAATTTGAAAGAATTCTGACTTTAACTTCTGATTTCGGTGTTTGCTTTTTGGCAGATATCAGAATAGATAGGCACAAAGTCCAAGAGATTTGCACAGATTTTATTTTTATTTTTTCTGTTGCACTGTATGCATTCAAATAGTAAAGGAATATTTTCCCAAATCGAGGTTGTTTGGTGAACCGTGAAAACAAGGTTTTTACACAGAAAAAAAAAAAAAACGTTTTTCTCACTGCCCGCAATTAAATTCCACTAAATGTTTCCGGTTTAAACAAACTAAAGATTACCAAAAGTTTTTCTGGTTTGAAAACACCAAAATAATGAGACATACAATTTTCATGATATTTTCTTGTTTTCTTCAAATCTGATGTTTATATATATTCACTTAGCATGTAGTAAAATTGCATTTTTTAATATTAATGACTTTAGACATTTTAAATGTTAGTGAGCTTCTCACAGCTGTTTCCTGTAATTTCTGCCTAAATTAAGACAGTTTATCTGCTTTGCTGATACAACTAAGATCAGCAGTTTCATCGCATCACAGAATACTTCCTTCTTTTTGAATGGTCTGATTGCTGAAAGTTTCAATCTTATTTAGATTTCCATTCAATGATTTAGACAGATGAAAAGGACATGAATAAGGCAAACTTTTTTCAGCTTACGCAACTCTCTGCTAGCAAATCTTGGTAAGTATCTGATGGAATCACATAAGGAAGCAGTGTGTTGCCTTAAAATATATTCACAAATGTGCCGCTAGAAATTGAAATGTTGTGATTTAACGTACTAGTTTACAGAGCGTTTTAAAAATCCCATGGATTTCCCCAAGTTGTTCAAAAGTATAGAAACGTTATTGTGACTTTAAAGAAAACCACAATGTAAATGTTTCCTAAAACATTGTCTTTCCTGTTATCCTGGCATTCATTGAAGGATGTTAGCAATCCTAACTGACCTCTAGATTTATATAAGTTGGAATTTCAGTTTCAGGGCTCAGGCTATTTGTTCAAAGGACATTGAGCGCACTCATTCTGACCTCTAAGGTAAAATCAAATGCAACAGTACTCTATAGATTCCATATCATTTTAAAATACCAACGTTAAAGAGATATGTGTAAAACCACAGCATTTATTCTTCCAAAAATTACAAGCAGAGGCACATTTTTTAACAAAATGTACAATAAAATTGTTTGAATTGCTCCTTAATAAACCCTAAAATTATCAACAATGATAAACCACCTGAAATCTTTGATATTATATGTTTATCAACAAATGTGTTCCCACTTGAGAATCAAATGCCTGTATCCCACCTTTGCTGGTTAAAGCGTTTCAAATTCACCTTCAGATTCACTCTTTGCTCTTCGCTGCTAACAGCCAACAAATTCTTCAGGCACTAAGGTGTTTCTAAAACTTTACTGTACCTATGGCTTTTTTGTACACTGAATGTTGAAAATGTTATATCTTATATAGAATGCATTATGTCATATCAAACCTACTTTTTCTATACAGTTAATAAATCTGATGGTTAAAAATGTGTGTTACTGTATTTCTTCCTGACAATTTGAGTATCCGTAAGGCTAAAGGCAAACTAGTTTTCACTACTGGACCAAGTTACTTAAAGGACCTTTTTTTTTATATATACATTTGACTCTATTTTTTATTTTATTTTTTCTCTATGGTCCTTGTTTTTTAGCGTCATAAAATGCTAAAGTTATTGTAGTCTTGTCAAGACAGAAATCATTTAAAGGGTTTGAGAAGATGTTTTGATTCAGATTTTTATTTTCATTTTTATTTTTCTGCAATTAAAATGCATTATTTGATTTAATCTGTCTATGGTACTTATGGTACTTAATTATAACAATAATCCTTAATTTTCTTTGGATTTTACGTGCAGGATAAAAAGTAGTGCATAACTATGAAGCAAAAGCACTTTGTTGCTTTTCAATTACAAATCTGATAAGTGTGGCACGTGGATAAACAGAAGTGCTCCAAATCAATGCTTTGTAGAACCAACTTTGAATGTAATTCAAGAGCAAGATCTTTCTTAACAGGAAGCCATAAAAAAAATCTCATTTAAAGTCTGTCTCAAGCAAACAGAACTTTCTGACCTACACATAATCTGTGGCAGAAACCTCACAGCAAACAGCATCTCCACCATGAATCATGCTGTTAGGAGGCTTATCTTCAGTCTTCTGATAAAAGAGTATAGGGAAAAACGGTTTGCATTCTGCTCAATCACTACATTCAACATACAGCCAAAGATGCCA